TATATATATATATATATATATATATTTAGAATAATAAATGATGGCCTCTTAAGAACTGTTAGCCAGGCGTAGTGGCACAAGCATGTCATCCCAGCATGTGGGAGGCTGTGTGTGTGTGTGTGTGTATACTTGAGAGGGTTTGTGTCTCCGCACTTGAAATCACATAAGGGCCCTCACCTTTGCTATCTCTCATGTACTCCGAGATTCCTGGCCAATTCCATTTCACACAGTGGTTTGAGAATCCCTTGTCTGAAATTCTTGGGATCAGAAGTGTTGCAGATACCATTTTTGGATTCTGGAATATTTGCCACAATGGGGTATCTTAGGGGGCCTGAGTGCAAACAAGAGCTCATTTCTGCTGCGCATACACCTTACTCACACGGACTGAAGGTAATTCTGCATTCTGTTGTTATTGTGCCTTCATTCCGACCATGGCCTGTCACTCAAGGCCAGGTACGGAGCTTTGCAAGTGAGATGTCACGTCAGCACTCAAAAAGCTTTGGATTTGGAGGATTTGAGAGTTGTGATTCTCAAGTTAAGGATGCTCAGCCTGTACATGAAAGTGCCTTGAGCCCTCTTCTCTGAAATTTCTGCACGCCCTGCCTCTCTTTGTGCACTATGTGCCCACATAGTGCTACTGTTGCCCCACAGTGTGGGGTCCACCAACCCTCCAGGCTGACCAGACACCTGCTCTTTATGATCTTGGGCTCCTGGGCACCCTCATGTGCCCACCTGCTCTGGCAATGCCTCTCATGGGCAGGAGTGTGGTTAGGAGGAGTGGGACCCCAGGCAGGATAGAGGCAGCTGCTGCTCACTCATGGCTGCGGCATGTTGCTGAGGGAAGGGACTTAGGGACAAAGTAACAATTGGGGGAGAAAATAAAATTGATACCAGGAAAAACGTCCACCTTTTACTTATGGTAGAAGGGCAGCTGAGAGGCAGTTGGCGGATCCTGAGCTGCGTCTGCCTCCCTGTACTGTGGTTTTCTAGCTATGTCCCATGCGTGGTGCCTGAGCCTTTGAATCTTGGTATGCTTGATGTGGAAGCTGTCATGACACCATGTGGGCATGTGAGCCTCCTCTATACATAAAGCCAGAGATGTCTCCTAAATACTGTGCCCACCAGCTTCTTGTGGGAGAAACACTTCTGGTTAGCTTTGAATCCATTGATGCTCCTTAAAATAGTTATAGAGTCAAGACTTGCTCACTGCATATAATTTGGAAAATAAAGAAGAGTTGACAAAATCATCCATATTCTTGTAATTGAGAGAGAGAATCACTTGCAGCATTAAAACGACAACTCTACACTTGAGTATTATTCCTTCTAAGTAAGAACAGCACATTCATTGAACTGGTGTCAGGTGTCACTGGAAATGGTGGTTTTGACAGTGGCTTTCAAATTCCTGTCAATAGTAAGATTGTTCCATTGCAACCATATCCAACCATACTACGTGATGGAGCTAAAAGTTCCACTAAGCAGTACTTAGCCTTACTAAATACCATGAGCTCTTCTGCGGTCCATCTTATTATAGGCCACTGTAGTTAATTAAAATAAAATGGTGACTGCAATTCATACATAGAAGCCAAATCCAACTTACCAGTGTGCTATCATTCCACTCCACTACAGAAAGTACTTAATCACTATTTTGAGGTAACTTGGCTTCTTCTACTTTAACATAATCCTTTTTAGGATTTTTTTATTGTGGAAAAATTTACATAATATGAAACTGGACATTTTAACCATGTTTAAGTGTATGATTCAATGCAACTAAGTATATTAAGCTTTCCATCTTGCAAAACTAAAACTCTGTGCCCATCAAACATCAACCCCTCACCCACCCTGACCCTAGCACTTAGCAAGCACCATTCTTTTTCTTACATTCTACACAGCTGCTATATTCCCTACATGTATCTCTAAGACTACATTCTTCTCTCTCTCTCTCTCTCTCTCTCTAAATAGGGTCTCACTATGTAGTTAAGGCTGGCCTTGAATTCATTATGTATCCCATGCTGGCCTCAAACTCACCATGACCTCCCTGCCTCAGCCTCTGGAATGTTGGAATTATAGGAGTGTGCCATCCTGTCTTATTTATCTTTTGACTGCTCTAGGAACTTCATATAAGAGAAATCATACAATTTTTGTTCTTGTCTGGCTTACTTGATTTGGCACAATTTCCTCAAAGTTCATTCATGTGCTAGAGTGCACCAAAATTTCCTTCCTTTTAAGGCTGAATGATATTCTGTAGTACAAATATTCCACATTTTGTTAGCCATCTACCCACTGGCAGACACTTTAGTTGCATCCACCTTTGGCTATTGTAAATAGTGCATCTGAGAACACAAATATTTGCTCAAGTTTCTGCTTTCCCTTCTTTTGGATATACACCTAAAGCAGAATTGCTGCATCATACTGATCATAATTCTATGTTTGAATTTTTGAGGAAACACCATACTGGTTTTCCCAGTAGCTGCACTATTTAACATTTCCACCAACAATGCAGAAGGATTCCAGTACCACCACATTCTCACTTGTTATTTTCTGATTTTTTGGACAATAATATGGTAATGACAGTGAGGTGCTATCTAATTGTGATTTTGATTTGCAATTCCCTAATGACTCACAATGCTCAATGCCTTTGCATGTATTTATTGACCATTAAATATTTTATTTGGAGAAATGTCTCTTTAGGTCCTTTACCTATTATTGAATTGTTTTTCTGTTGTTTAGTTGCTAGCTTAGAAATTTACTCAGTTGAGTTCAAGATTTATACTCCATTCTATTTAAAGTTCAAATTTTTTGACAGTTGTTTTGTCTTCCTCTCTGCATTCTCCTAGAATACTATGTGGGTACAGATTTAGGCTCAGGCAATTTGCTGTACTAAGTACACCCCAATACACATAAAATAATTCCAAGGCAAGAGAAATTCTTATTCATGTCAAGCTCTAAATATATAGTCTATGTTTCCACAAGACAGTCCAAAAACCAGGCTCTTTCTCTATGTGGTGCTGCCATTTCTACAGCCTCACTATCACTGGCCTCCAACTGAGCAGGTGGAAGATGAATGTGAAGTGAAAAGGGGTGCTCACAGGTGTCTCTAAAAGCCCTGCCCAAAACTGCAGACTCTCAGCTCATCTTTCATGGTATAGAAGTTAATCACCTGGCCACACCTACTTGAAAGGAATCCTGGGAAATCTAACCTCTTTTGGAAGAAGAGAAGATGACTTGGGGCGAACAGTTTAAATCTTGTAACCCACTGTGGTTCAGTCTGGATGAAAATCATGTGGGGGGGATGTAGAGCAGTTGGTTGAGAGCCAGGGGTGCTTGAAGCATCAGGAATGATGGTACCTTGTCCAGTAATCACAATAAAGCTAAACAGAGGGTGCTGTGCTCCTATTTTACAATTTTGTTTTGTTTTGTTTTGTACCTAGAAGTGAACTCCGGTCCTTGCACTTGCAAAGTAGGCGCTGCAACCACTGAGCTAAATCCCTGGCCCGCTCCTATTTTATGAGAGAATGTCAGCTAATTGTGAGTTAAAAAGAGGTAAAGATGAGGCTACTGTGTCCGCACAGGAAGCTTGAGCCTCAGCAGACCCTGCGGGCTGAGTGTGGAGAGTCCCATCCCAGAGTGGTTCCACTCAGGGGTAATCTGTGCCAGTCAAACTCACACAAGCTGCATGTGTATGTGTTGGGTATCAGTTCATGTCCTGTTAGTTCAGGTTCATGGTTAGCATTTTCTTGGGTATACTAACTTCTGGTGACCTCGCCAGTACTCTTGAGAGCCAGATTTCTAGGCTAGGACTGTTGTCTGGTATGTTTAATAAAGTCTATCCACATCGAAGAGAGGAGTCTTACTCCGGACACTGCTTCTAATTCCAGGAAGCTTAGGTGTTTTGGGTGCAGTGTCTTTTCCTCCCACACAGCCCGGGCTTCCTCAGTTGAGGTCCAGCTAAGCCATCTCCTCAGGCCTGCATTTTCTGTCCGAACAGCCACTCTCGAACTGCTTCTGTTTCTGCCTCCCAAGTCACAGCCCCAACCTGGTGCTGACTCCTTCAGATCCCTGGGCCAAGCCCCAGAGTGTGAATTCACTATCATTAACACATCAGGGACAGAATCATTTCTAAACAACTTGTACCAAGATAACCAAAGTTGCAGAGCTGCAGTTTTGTTTTGCAGTAGTGAGAATTAAGCCCAGGGCCTTTTTTATTTTTGTTTTGAGATAGGTTCTCTCTAAATTGCCCAAGCTGAGCTCCAATATGATCATCTTTTCTCACACTCCCAGCATACTAGGATTATAGGTGTGTGCTATCACATTTGGCTCAGAACTCGAATTTGAGCTCAGCTTAATGTGACCTTCAACTGTACCCTAGCCACCAGGTAATGCTACCATGAAGCTAAAAGCATAGAGAATATATTAAATAATATAATTGAAAATTTTAAAATACTAAGATAAATTAGAACATTGCATCGAATCTATCAAGATACATTAAGGAAGGACAAGTGTAAGTTCCCATACTTACATTGTGGTTTAATAAGAAATGTCTCCCAAAGAGTCTTTAACTGAAGGCTTGATCACCAATGCAGCCATGCTCAGAGGTGGAGCCTAGAGAGGTGATTTGAGCATCAGGATGGTGAGCGGATCATCCCATTGATGAGGTCACAGCTGAAAGGGTTATGAGGAGGTGCACCCCAGCTGGAAGAAGCATGTCACTGGCCCAAGCCTCTGAAGAGTATATTTAGTTCTTGGACCCAGAGTGGCTGCCACAAAGTCAGCAGCTTTGCTGCACCACACATTCCCTGCCATGATCCTGGACCTCACCTCAGTCCTGCAGTGATGGGGCCAAGCTGCCATGGAGTGAAACCTTGAAACTATGAGCTCAAATAAATCTTTCCTCCTTTCTCTCATTGATTTTTTTCAAGTACTTTCCAATAGCAATGGAAACCTGACACACCTTCCAAAGCTGAAGCCCTCTATTTTTACTTCAAGGTTAATTTAGGAAAATACACACAAATAAAAATACTACCTAAAACAATGTATACTATTAATTAGGGTATTATAATAATGAATACCATTTGTTATATCAAATGATATTTTATTACCTTATTAGTTTTATTTAAGTTCTTGATGGCCAAATAGATTTTTGACTCACAACTTTTTTGAAAGATGATTACATTTATTGTCCTACAAATGCTTTTTATTTTTCTTTGTTCTTTTTAATTGGCACAAAATATCTGTACATATATATATGAGGTATAATAATTCAATACATGTATGTAATGTGTAATGGTCAGCAGGGTAATTAGCATTCCCATCTCCTCAAATACTTATTATTTCTTTTATCATTTTTTTTTTAGTTTATTGGTACATTCTAGGTATACAGTACAGTTACATTCATCACTGGGATCTTGTACCTTTACATGACAGGTCTTGGTTCTCATTTTTCCCCCTTGTCCCTGCCCTCCCTTCACCCTCTCCTCCCCTCCCCATTTATAAACACTTTATTTCCATTTTTTCATTTTCTCATATTTTTTCTTTTCCCTTATTACCTTTCCCCTACCCTTCCCACTTTCCCTACAGCTTTAGCCCTTTTCTTCCTATTTCACATTGTCAATTATCTCATTAGGATTTTACGTACTATTATAGTTTTTCACACCAGAGAAACTGTTTGGTGGAAATACTTATTATTTCTGTATGTTGGAAAATGTTGGGCTATTCTAATCATTTTGAAATACACCATAAATTGTCACAGATTATAAACACCCTATTGTGTTACCGAAAACCTAAACTTTTTCCACTTACCACCTATATTTAGAATCAATATTAACCTCTTCTGTAAATATTTTTAATCTATAATTAACAAAATACTGGGTTAAGTGAGAAGACAACTGGTATACATGTCTATATTTCTTTTGGGGCATGACTTGACCCAAGATATGTCTGAAATCTACATCATTACATAACTCTATTGAGCTCTCAGAAAGTTATTGTGAATACCATTTCAACATTTTCATTGTTTTCTGTTTTTTATGATCATTGTGCGAAATGTGACCCAACTGTTTGATTTTTGATTTTTTGAAAATTTATCATCACATTGGTAACTAAGCCATTTTTTAAAAAGCCATTTTTTTCTAGGAAAGAAAAAATTATGACAACAATCAATACCAATGAATGGACATTAACTTAATTCATTTGCTTTCTAAAGTATGGGGAGGTAGAAGAAATATGAGTTACTGCTAATAGGAGGCTGTAAGGTCACTTAAGGGGTAGTTTTTTGTTTGTTGTTAACAGTTTTGGTTTATTGTTTAGGGTCAAAATATGTATCAGGCAGTTGCTGTGTTGTTGGTGTTAGCAAAACAGTGACTCAGGATTGCAGAAGTACCAGGGATCAAACTCAGGTCCTTGAGTTTTTGAGACAGGCCACTGAACCGCTGAGCTAAATCCCCAGCCCTCAGCCCTGTTCTTTATAGGTGGTTTTCTTTGTAAAGTTATTTTTCAGCAAACTGCCTCTTAACCTGTTTTTCAGAGATTCTTTGGAGAGATAAGGACCATATATAGTTTTAAACCAGCCAAAACCAGTCCTCACAAACTAGGACATCAGAAAGAGTGTAACAGTGACCATTAGGTTATATTGCCTCATTTTAGTGCTAAAATCTCCACCCTGGGGGGAAAGTGGAAAGCCTCATTTCTATAATGTGGGACTCAATGGGAGCACAGTGTCAGACTTGCACCTGCACTCCTCCTCACCTCCCTTTTTTCATAGTACTGGGAATTTAACCCAGGATCTTCTCACTGAGCTACATCCCATCCCTTTATTTATTTTTTTATTTTGAGATATCATGTCAGAGAGAAGGGGAGAGACAGAGAGAGAGAGAGAGAGAGAGAGAGGGAGAGATCATCACTAAATTGACCAAACTGGGCTGAAAGTTGCAACTCTCCTGCCTCAGTCTCCCAGAGTGTTGAGATTATAGATATACATAATCATATCTGGCTCTTTCACCCCTTTTTAATACGCATACTCTGCTCAGATAACTTGGCCTTCCTTACCTAACATTGGAGAGTCGCTGCTTTGGAAATAATTCCTGTGGTCTCAGTATTTGCTGCAAAAAACTTTTCTTTGTGTAACTTTCTTAATGTTTTGTTTCAGTTCAATTCCCACTAAGAGACAGACCCATGGTCCTGTGCTCATCTATTTTTTTTTTTATCTGTTTCTGTTCTAGAGTCTCTATTCATATTTTTTATTCTGCTCACTATCTCTGGGGTTATCTGGGAAATTATTTGTATTTGCATTTTTCTGTAGCCTCATTCATCTCTTTTGTTATTTCCTATGCTATCAGTTCAGGATGTCCATGTGGTTATCAGACTTTTCCACCTCGTTTCCCCCAGAATTTGTCTTTAGTGAGTTGGAAGTTTGGGTTTGCACCTTACTTATGTGTCTTCTCATTCATGTTTTAGTTGTTGGTAGTGTTTTTAGTTTAATTCCTGGGTTGATACTTCAGTATTGCTTATTGTGAGTATATTTGATACTTGTATTTAGAACCCTTATGGAATGATTGCTTCTCAGAGGTGTCTTCCAGATATAGCTGGTCTTTAGGTTTTGAATTTCTAATGACTCTGAGACCATCTCATTTTCAGTATAACAGGAAGGACAACTGATTAGATCAATCACAACACCTTAGCCCAAGTGATACAATCAGCATTAACAATAGCATCAACAACATCTTAGAAAATGACAATTTGTGGTAGTTATTAATCTATCATCTTTAACCATGTGAATTAAGTCAAAATCATAGACCAGTCCAAAATATGATTATGGTAAATAAACTCTTCTATATAGCAACTTTACCTTTCAGGATGGGGATTTAGGAGGACTTGGAGACAGAGGGATAGATAGGTAGAAGTATAGGGAAATATTAGAAGTGAGGCTAGTGTACAGAAGAAGTTCACACAAACTCTAGGAAACTATTGAAGACAGGGGAAAAGACAGAACAAAAGAGCAAAGACAAGAACAGAACAACCTAACATCCACTCACTTTCCTTTAAAACTAATGACAATTGAGAGAAGCAAAAAGAGAGAAGAAAAGAAAAAGAAAAAAGAAATACAAATTAGGACAAGAACAGGAACAAAGGGAGAGAGAGAGATGAAGAACAAGGTGGGAGAGAGAGAGGGAGAGAAAGAGAGAGAGAGAGAGAGAGAAGAAAAAATGATTTGAAAAGAGAACAAAACTTAAAAAATTAAAAATAAGAAAAAAAACTTTGAAAATAAAAAGTAAAAATAAAGGCCTCCTTCAGGGTATGTCTCCAATGTAACAGTAGACAATGTGGGCAGCAGTATGCAGATCTAATTCAATTAGTTTCAGCAAGCCAGCAGCAGTCAGCTGAGATTAGGGCTGATTTCTGGCTGCAAGGCCCAAGTGGAGCTCCCTGACCTCCTGCTGAGTTGAACTCTACAAGGTTCTACAGCACACTCCAGTTGCCCTTCCCTTGAAGATAGTCCAGGGTCTGATGGGAGATGGTGATTCCTCCAACTTACCAACTACAGTGGTCTGGTGTGCTTTTATTCCAGAGATTTTCTTGACTTTTCCAGTGGGCTTCAATTTTCATCAAGGAGCCTCAGAGTGGCCCTCTTTCTTTCGGTTCTATTTTCTGGAGCTCAGAACAATGTCATTTATGACCCCCTCTACCTCTGTGGTGTGGGTCCAGGTATCTTCAGGGCCCAGCATCCAGAGACAGGGTATAGGTGGGGATTGTGGCTCAGCTCCTTGGCTCCTCTGCAGTGGCCCCTCTGTTGAGCAGCAGTTGGCACTCAGGGCATAGGCTCAGCACTCTTCTGCTGGGGAGGGCTGTGCTCACTTGGTCAGCAGGGCTGGGAAGTGCCCTGGTGCCCCTCCACCCTTGTCAAGAGCTCTCTCTGGTCAGGTCTCCCTGGCATAACCACACAGCCTCCCAGCTAGTAATGTACCCTCTTTTGTACATCTCCATCACCCTCCACCATCTTGAAGTCTAAAATAGAATTATTGACATATAAATTACACACCATACAATTCACCCACTTTAAGGAATATTACATTGTTAACTTTTTAAAACTGTGGTAAGGCATATATAACATAAAATTGTTGTCTTAGCCACTTTTTGAAGTGTAAGATTCAGTGTGTAGCATTGATTACATCCACAATATTGTATAACTATTACCACTATTTCCAATCCATTTTCATCACCCTCAACTGAAACTGTGTGCCCATTAAACACTCCCTGTCTGTTACCCATTCTCTGCACCTGTCTCTATTTTTGTCTCTAAAAATTTACCTACACTAGTTATCTTTTATAAGGGCAATCATAGTTTTTGTCTTTTGGGGTCTGGACTATTTCACTTAGCCTATGTTTTTCAAGGTTCATCCATGTCTTAGCATGTGTATGAATGCCATTTGTGTCAGATTTATTTCACTTAATGTGACGGTCTTGCAGTACATTCTTTATTTTGGTTAAATAATAGTTCACTAAAAAGGAACTATTTCTGACACTCAATGTGTTGTTTTTTGTTTTTTCTTCTCAACAAGCAAGTCTCTGGGTCTCTGTTCATATCAACTGGATGTCGCATTTT